TGACTATCCAGCATGAGCGCTGCTCCATAAAAGGCCACACCAGCTTCGACTCTTGTCTCACCATCTCACACTTGACTCACAATCCCCATTGCACATCAACCAAGTTCTATATAACATGAGCAAGGTCAGTCCTCTTTGGCTACTACCTTGGGCTTTGCCTGATCGGATCACCAGCCTATTTTGTATCGTTATGGAGGCTCCGTCTGGGCTGCAGCACCAGAAATGGCTTTGTACGTATCAAATTTTCTCTACAATTACGTTGCTGATTGGCAAATAGCATCGAATTGGGCTATACGGACGAAGTTGTTCAGAAAACCATCGTAGTCGGTGCGTGCCTTCTTCAGTGCAATTGCTTCTGCTTACAAGGAGGTGCAGGCGACGGAGAAAATCTGGATCTCCCATATGTCAAGATCAGCCCAGCAGCCACGATTCCCTCTTTAGTGACCCCAGAGGGGAAGCTCTACGATTCGACCTTGACAGTCGTCAAATATTTGCTCGATAATGCTCCTCAAAAGGATAAAGTCAAATATAGCTCGGATACAAAGCTCTTGGAGATTGTTCACGAAGATAGTATTGACCCCAACACATTCTTCCTCGCAGCAAGGAGCGAGGAGGAGCTAGCCGCCAAACGAAAGGCATTTCCGATGCACTTTGTTTCCTCCCGTATGTGATGCTCACTTGTATGCGAATATTAACTAACCGAGAAACGCTCGCTTCTGCAGGTCAAAAGGTCCTGGAACGTGTGAAGCCAATCGCCCCTCCTGAACTCAAGGACTTCTACGATCAGAAATATAAGGGAAATAGCGGTCTACTTGCAATCTACACAGAAGGCGCATCCAGCGAGGTCACGGCTCCTTGGTTCAAGATGTCGCAAGCCAACTGGGACGCTATTGGTAACTTTATCACTCAAGTCCTTCCAACTTACTTGCCGGAACAAGGACTACTCGGAGGTGATACCCCAAATGAAACTGATTACCACGTAGGCGCATATCTTGCTCGCATTGCGGATGTCCTGGGAGCCAAGAGCGAGAAAGGCGCTGCGTCTATCTTCAAAGTTTTCACCGGCGAGGTGCCCGCCAGTGTTTTGCAATACTGGGATACTTGGGTTGTTCGTCCATCATGGGAGACTGTCTACAAGCATGGCCTGCATTAATAAACGAGATGATATTATGTAGCTTTGTAAAAGCGGTAGAAGTCCAATACAAAATGATGACGATAAATAGGGTTATTTGAGAATGCTGCCGTTCTACCAGCCTGAGAAATCACCCCATCCAGTCTTCCGTTTCTTCGAAGGGACATCAGAGGCGACTGTTTCGGAAGTACCTGGTTCCCTAGCTCGCTTTAGATATTTCCCGACACCACTAGACGTGCCTGAAGGACCTGTTAAGGTCTCAGAAGCTTTGATACTCTCTCCAAACCAGTTCCTGGTATCAGTCTTGTCACTTTGAGCTTGATTCGCTTGTGATGTCCCTAGCATTGCCGAGGATTGTGCTTGATGGGCGAGCTTTTTTGCTAATCTTGTCTTGTAATCCTCGAATGGGTCTTGATGTCTACGAAACGGAGGCTATGTCAGATCTTGTAGCCCTGATACCCTACATACAACCTCTTACATGACGATCTCGGTAATCTTGGCAGGTTTCACTGGACGTTCCGTGCCTGCTTTTACTGGCATTTGTTCCAATGCGTCCAACACTTCCTCGCCTCCGACAAGTTTACCAAACACTGTATGTTTATTGTCCAAATGAGGTGTTTCGCGGAAGGTGATATACCATTGGGAACCATTGGTATCTTTGCCTTTATTGGCCATGGCTAAGGTGCTGATAATGGTTATAGATGACAATCAAATCGGATGGCGATGAGAGTACTTACCCTCTGGCGTCATGCTTAGCCGCTCCCTTGAAATCATATTCATCCCTAAAAGGAGTGCCCCAGAATGATTGACCACCTGACCCAGTACCCGTTGGGTCACCGGTCTGCACCTGAAGATATCTCTGTCAGCTCCTGTTGACTGATCCTAAAAAATGGGCTACACACCATAAAGTTGGGTATCATTCTATGGAAGATACAATCGTCATATTTTCCTTGCCTTGCTAGCATCAAGAAATTATAGCAGGTCTTTGGTGCCTGAAGAAGAGGTTAGCGAGATACGACCATCCTATCAAAATTACGAACCTTTTCACAGAACAATTCCAAATTCAGACTGCCCCCAAGACTTGTGACCACTCGAACATATGCTCGTCTCTTTCCGACGTCTTTTTCTTTCTTGGCCTTGGCAGGATTTTGAATCGCGTCAAACATCAATTCCTCTTCATCAAACATGGCCGGGGTCGACGCTGTATGAGGATCAAGGGAGGTCGAAGTCAAGGATGCTCCAGGTAACCCAGATGAGAATGGTGAAACGTTATCTACTCGAATATTAGCTATGGCATTCCCTCAGACAATAAACGTACAGGCATCAGGCTGTTTCGATTTCGCAGCAGCAGCGCCAGCGGCCGATAGCTTTTTGACAGCACCCTTTTTAGCTGACGTGGATGCCTCTGCCTTCGGTGGTTCCATTAGAGCATGGGGGTTTTGAAGCGTTATTATATCCGACCTGGAAAACCTCAATACACTACCTGGACCACACGATCTGCACGTACTTTTTAAAGGGAGAATCATCGATAGCATCCCTTCCACCCATATTTTTGATACTCTCAGCAAGGTAGACATTTCCTGTAGTCGCAAGTGTGACAATATGAGAATGCTGAGAGAATGGCTTGAAGGATACCGGGTCGTGCATCTGATCATCAGCATTCCTGTGATAGTGCAATGTAATTAAGGATGATGGCTCGAGTGGTTGATTGGTAATTGGATGAAGATTGTTGTGCTGTCTAAACAATTTCGTTGAATGTCACCGGCACGTCTGGAAGACACTAGGACTTACTTGAGCCATGGTACGATAGAAGTTAGTTCAAATACGGTTCCTGTTCCATCTGCATTTCTTGCGCAGACCGGTGTTTCAAAAGGTTGAAAGGTGAGCGCGCAAGAGTCAAAGGGTGTAATTCGAAGTGGATTTAGTCCTTCAGACTTCCTGTCAGAGCGTCAGATTACGTTAAACACGGACAGGTATCAAATTAGTAATGGCCTTACTTTTTGTATCCTGAACTTGCAGAGTGTTGGCCGCCAGCCTCTCCTGAATGTTCCGCGTGTGTTATGTAGAGTTT